AAAACAAATGTCGAATGTTTTCTCTGATATAAAGAGGCTGATTCATACTGGGATAGGGAGGGGGAACATGGGAGGAATAGATGAACTCTAGATAGGGCACAGTTGTTGGAGGGGAAGGGAGGGGGCATGGGGTTATAAATGATGGTGGAATGTGATGATCATTATTATTCAAAGTACATGTATAAAGACATGAATTGGTATGAATATAATTTATATAACTAGAGATACAAAAAACTGCTCTATATGTGTAGTAAGAATTGTAATGCATTTTGCTGTCATATATAAATAAAAAAACTATAGTTTTCAAAAGCAGACCTACAAATATGTCAGATACTATAGTTAAAGCATAAAATATGAAATAAGTAGGTTTCTGATTCATAACTATAAGAGAGGCCTGAAGATACTGGTAACAAACAAAGTTCAATGTCTATGGCCATTGAGTTAATGGATAAAACAAAGCCTATTTAACAAATTATGCTTGGAAAACCAGATATCCACATGCAGAAAACTGAAACTCTCTCTCACCTAGTACAGAATTTAACTCAAAATGGATCAAAAGTCTTAATGTAAGACTTAAAATTTCAAAAATTACCAGAAGAAATATAGGGGAAACACTTCACGATACTCACACAGGTAAAAATTTCCTGAATAGTACTCCAATAGCCCAGGAAACATCTCTGCACAGCAAAGGCAACAATCAACAGTATCAAGAGACAATCTACAGAATGAGAGAAAATCTTCGCCAACCATTCATCTGACAGAGGACTAGTAACCAGAATACATATTTTAAAAAACTTAACAAAAGAATTAAAAAGTGGGCAAATGATCTAAATAGATACTTCTCAAAAACAATACAAATGGCCAATAAAAACATTAAAAAATGCTCAGTATATTTAGCCATTAGGGAAATCCAAATCAAAACTGGTCTAGTAACTAACTCATCCACTACTTATACAACATAAAATAAAAATGGAAGAAGCAAAATAAGCTAAACACAGAAAGACAGAGTCACTTATTTTCTCTCACATGTGGAAATTTAAAAAAAAGAATTATCTGAAAATAGAAGAGAGATTATTAGTGAAAGGGGAAGGGGACCTGAGGTAAAGGGAAATGAGGGGTACAAGACAAGGTAGAAGGAAGAGTGGACATGAGCAAAGCGTGATATATGCATGCATGAAAATGTCATACCCATTAAGTTGTGCAATTAATATGCATGAATTATAATATTTTTAAAAATTATGTTAATTATATTCAATAAAAAGAAATTTCCTTTAAAACATAATAATAAAAAATTTTAAAATAAAAAAAGAAAAATGTAAAATTAAAGGCAAGCCTAAATCTGGAAATTCATTAATAGAAAAGGCAAGTAATGATTTATTAAATAACATGCGAACAGCAATGATTTAACTTTTAAAATTACATTCTTATCTAGGAAGGGGTTACAAAATAAAGAAAAATTCATGAATAGCTGAAGACAAAAGCTATCTACATTAGGCCATGGAATAGTTAGTGGACCACAGTAGAAGGAAACAGATGTATATATCTGCAATATATGATGTCTACATTACTATACTAGATTACAAGTCCATTAAACATCTGTGTCCAATTTTGGAGGGTATATTCCTTTTTTGTCCTTCCTTGTTGAAAATACTTTTAAAAGGCAACCAAAAACAAAACAAAACAAAAGCTATGCTATAGCTGAAAAACGGCTCATTCTAAATTCTGTATCTTTACTAAACTATGTACATTTTAATTTAAAAATCTGGTCTTTGAAAATGTGGCTAGAGATTGAAAATAATCAAGTATCTACCAATTGCTCATTGTTTCAGCCAAGTAGGACTATCTAAAAAATGTTGGATAAATTTCAGAAAGCATACTTGCCCCTTGTTTAGTTGTACAATTAGTATTTTTCAACTTTCCAACTCAGAAATCCTAATGAAATACCAAAGTATAAGGAGGACTTATAGAATTTAGAAAATACCATAAATAATATTTATACTCCACCAAGATGATTAACAATATTCTGGCACAAGCTTTCTTTAAGCCTTAAATGCAAATTTCACTAGAGAACTAAGGGCATTCAGAATTTTGATTGCCATAAAGTACAGTGTCTCATGCTCTACCTAAGTCATTTAATACAATGGCTAGATTTTCACTTAACTTATACTTACACAAAAATGCAAAGAAGAAGATAATGCCAATATTTAAGTTACCCCTTTATGGCTAGGAATAAGGGAAGTTCTTGGGTATCCCTTCTTGAATACACTGATCTGATTTCCTTAGTGAAGAGTTTTCGTAAACACCCTAGCTTCCAAACAACCAGCTCCTTTCATCTCATATGGTGGTGATTCTGTACTCTATATTACCATGACTTTCTGATAAAGACAGATATCACACCTCACTGGCTCTCCAAAGTGAAGGGTGCCCTTTAACATCAGAATCTAACTAGAACAACAGAAATTACAGACTATTTTAAACAGAGGAAAATTAATGCTGGAAGCTGATTACAAAGGGGATAAAAGAAATGTCATCAGGAGAGACAACCAGATCACTGCCATAGGAGTCCAGAACTAAGATCATACAGTGGATGTTGTAACTATGACAGGCCTGACCAGTGGGAACTGAAGTCACAAAAGGAACAGCAACACTAACAGAATTAAAATGAGCAGAGGAATGACTTGGCTCCCTCTTTCTTAAATCTTCCACTTAGAGTTTCCCATTGAGTTCCTAAAACCTAGGGGGAAGAGTCCGCTGTTACTAAAGCCTAGGAAGGCAATGAGTGCTCCATGTAAGTACAGAAGAAAGCAGGAAAAGGGTATAAAATGGATCTGAGGGCAAACAAGTCCAAGACCACTATTACTTTCAATAAAGTTCCTATCATAAAGATATTCCATCCAAAGTATGCTCCATCCAGCTAATCTCTCACTTCCGTTGTTAACCAAATGACTCTAAGACTTCAATTGCACATTAATACTTATGGATCATCTTTCAGATTTTTAAAGAAAAACTCCAAGAAAATCAATATCTAGAAGCGTAATTCTGCCAGGCAGGATAAGAATAATCCAACTAGTTAGATTTATAAAAATGTTCAACTGAGGTAACAAGGCAATTTGTTCTCGCCTCTTTGCTTATAAAGTCTAACTTGACTAATATAATAGATGCATTTTGCAAGAAAAATAAAATAGTCCCTAGAGAAATGATGCCAGACAACTTTTAGCATAAGTTATTTGAAACTACTTCCAAGTAAATGTTTCAACTGTGTTTTCTCCAAAGCATCTGTTTGGCATAGTCTTTAAAGAGATGTTGGAATTGTTAACTATTGATTCAATTTGTATCTTCTCATTCAACTCTAAAGTGCTGATACAAATTCTTTGGTATGATCATGAAGAATAAAAATATTGTTATTAAGAACTGGTATTTAAAAAAAAAATCACAGAGAAAAGGGAACTCATACACTTTTGGTGTAAGCAAGTACAGTCATTAAGGAATAGTATGAAGGTTTCTCAAAAAACTAAAAATAGAACTATCACACAATGGAGCTATCCCACTGCTGGGCATATATCCAAAGGAAACAAAATCAGTACATTCAAGAGATACCTGTACTCCATGTTTACTCGTTTACTATTCACAATACTTATGCATGAGTAAGGAAGACGTATATGCACACAACGGAATGCTATTCAGTCATAAAAAAGAATGAAATCCCATCATTGTGGCAACATGGATGGAACTGAAGGACATTATGTCAAATGAATGAGTCAGGTACAGATAGACAAATACCATATCTTCTCACTCACTTGTGGAAACTTAAAAAATTCACTTAATTTAAGCAGAGAGTAGAATAGTGGTCTCTAGAGGCAATAAAGGGTAGGGGAGATGAGGAGTACAAACAGGTTGGTACCTAATACAGTTAAATAGGTAGAATGAATACTAGTGTTCTGTAGTTCAGTAGGGTAATTATAGCTTACAATAACTTATTATATATCACCACAAAGAAATTATGAATGTTTGCAGAGATGGAAATGCTTCTAATTACCATTACATATTGTATACATTTGTCAAATTACCACAATGAGTTCTATAAAGATGGACAATCAGAAAAAAATAAAGAAAAAAACTCATTGCACTACTTCACATATAAAAAAGTACCTGCCAAGAACAGGGATTACACTTGGCTCTAAACTACAATGAACTACTATGTTAAATTAGAACATTTCAAGAACTCCCTAAAATTTCTACTTTGCTAGGATTTTTACCATGTATACTTAAAAAATTTATAGAAAATTATAAAGTAAAACTTGTTTGTAAGTTTTTTGATAAATTTGTTTCATGAAAACATATGTAAAAAACAGAGCTTTAAAAGAAAAAAACTCTCCAAAAGTTTAAGAAATCTTTGCCTATTGGAAATTCTCTTATATCTTCATCAAACTGGCATAACAAAAAGTCAAATTACTTGGTAAATACCATGAATTTTAATTTATATGCATTTCAAAATAAATACTCTGCCTTGACTCATGATTTCAATTGTAATCTAGAGCTATGTAACATACTCAAAATTTACTATTTTAATAATAGCAGTATATTATATTTTATGTGATAAAGGACACTGATTAAATAGACTAATGGATCACAAAGATAGAACATCTGGCATGATAGTAATACTGAAAATATCATGTGAATTTTGATGCAATAGTCTAGAACATCTTTATTAGTCCTTGTAAACTCTCAGGCAAATATTTAGGTCTTCATAAATTTAGAAAGTAGAAAAATAGTAATTTTCAAATTATGATTTTAAAGGTAAAAATGTAACATTCTTTTATAAAAAGATAATGAATGGAGAGTAAGTGCTATTTTAGAATAAACTATCATATTGTTGCTATTTTTAAAATACTATCATCATTCTGTCATTTTTCAAATATAATTTAATGCAACAAAACTGCAAACTTATTTATTACTTCTCTATTTTACCAATGGAAGTAGCTTTTACTATGAACACTCACCATCCACTCAGATATAATAACATCCACTTTTTCTACAGGAAGATGAACTTCTTCAATTCTTCCTTTAATTAGTATGATAGTATCTTCCAGTTTATTCAATCTGAAAATTATCATAATAAATTGTATTAGGATGTGAAAAAGATTCTGGAAGCTAGTTAAATTACATAAAATTTTTGCCAACTATTCATATTATTTTGAGGAACAAAAAAGTATGTTCAGAGTTGATTTATCCCCTACGTCTTAAAATTACTGTTTGGTCACTCCAGGAATGCCCAAAAATGCCTCTGGTTAATTTTGGCAATACACAGTACTCATAAGGAAATCTTCAGCCTGCGAAAATTCTCAATGTTATTAAGAATACATGCTTTTATATAGATCTTAATAGCATCCAACATTTTCCTGTGACCAAATTTTTCCCTTGGAAAGTCATATACATTAAATATCCTTCCACCATTGAACTTGGGTAATCCTAAGGAAATTTAGAGAGAGAATTTTAATTCTGATGATTGTGTCTTAATAAGGAAAAAAGGGAGTGTGGCGGAGACAGACCAATACTGACATTAAAAGTTGGTACAGAAGAAAGTAATTTGTCATAGTGGTGAGGAAATGAGAAGGCAGAAGCCTTTACATTAACGTCCAGGTCCTCTCACACTTGTCAGCTAAGTGACCTTCACTAAGCATTTTAATAATTTCACTGGGCCTGTGTGTTCACAATAAAAGAGAATGACATACCTGCCCTACTTACTTCACAGGCTTTGGGGGATCAGATATTTGTGAAAGTTATGTATACATCTCAAGCACTATATACTATATAAATATATTTGTAAAAAACTTAAAATCCTCTCCCAAATTATTGGACCTTGCCCAATGGCAAACATTAGATGTTTTTATGTTTAATCATAAGGCTACCCCATATTTTCCAACATCTCTTCTGCTATTTGAAACAAAGAGATAACTTAAGGAAACTAAAGTAAGGCTAAGTTTTTCCTTTTCTTTTTTTTTGCCAAGGAGATACCCACCCCCAACTTCATCAAGGCATTATGTACACACAATTATATGCATTCATTTTTAAGGATACATTATATTGAATTTTGAAAAACACTGACATGTGCATGCCTGCCACCACATCTATAGAGATTATTTCCATTTCCCTGAAAAGATCCAGAAATACTCCTTCTCAGAAAATCCTCCCATCTACAACCACTGATTTTTTTCTCTTTCATCACCTATTAGATTAATTCATATTTTATAGAGGTCTGTGGTTACAGGATCATACTAAATGTACCCTTTTGTGCCTGCTATCTTTCAATATATAAGATACATTTTAGATTTGTGTATTTTTTGTGTGTATCAGTAGTTTGCTTCCTATTATTAGTGAGTATTCTACTGCATGGATAAACTACAATTTTGTTTACCCACACCTATCGATGGAATTCTGAATTGTTTCTAACTTTGGGGTCTAACTGAATAAAGCTTTATAAACACTGGGGTACAAATAGAATCACTGTACCAAATGGTAGTATATAACTAACTTTTTAAGAAAATGCTCATTTGTTTTACAGAGCACGTATATAATTTTATATTCCTAATATGTGCATTCCTGTCTTCACATGCCTGTAATACTTATTAATGTTCATCTTTTAAATTTTAATTGTTCAGCAAGATCCCAAGTACAAGATAAACTGTACCTTCCTAATAACCAATTATTGTTTTATGTGCTTGCTGGCCATATTCCCACATTTACTTTTCTTCATTTTTTTACCAGATCAGTATCTATTGAAACAGTACTGAAAAATTCTGTTGGCATGATATCATTAACCAACCAATGGAATTACTTTGGCATCTGTCAAAAACCAACCATCTAAGTGTGGATTTATTTCTGGACTTTGAATTCTGCACCCACGCTGACTGCTGGAGGGATTCATACACTCTTTTCAGAAGCACTCAACTTTTTCTTCAACAGAAAGCTTTGGCTTTATAACAACTTAATGATTCGAAGATAAACATCCAGACTAACACAAAGGTGATATTCCAATCCTGTGCTCTTCTGGCTTGCTCAACAGGCCAAGGTGAGGGGAGAACACGATTTGCCATTTCTAGTTAGCTTTTCTGGAGGCCCTCACTTATCTGCAGTACAATTCAGACTATAAATTCACAGACTGTGTTTCAGAAAAAAGGAATTAATGGGAGGAAAGAAAACAGAGGGGGACAAAACAATAACCAGCCCAATAACAGGGGCTATTCAGATGATTTTTGAAAAAGCATGTGAAAGAGAATAATTATGTGGGGTGTCTATGAAGGAATTATTAACAAGCTTTGCAGTGAATATTTTAAATCCTACTGTTCATTAGGGGTTATACAGGCATATTGTATTCCTAAATGATTACAGAAAACAATAACATGAATAATATCTGAGAAATACATAGGAGGGAGATACTGACCAAGGTCAGAAGACAGACTGTGGAGAAAGAAATTAAAATAGCTGATCTTGGGGGACTGGTTGGTGGGGGAACATTTATCTCCCAGGTGAATTTTCTATTTAAAGTGACTTAATATCCTTGCAGCATCCTGGGAGAAGGTTGAAAATAATAACAATAAACTTTGATATATTTTAATTTTTAGTGTGTTTTGTGTTCTTTATAGAAATACAACTGATTTTTATATTATTTATGTATTCAGTATACTGATAGTTTTATTACTGTATTAACTTGTTTTTAGCTTTTCTTCCTAAGATCTACATTTATAAACACAGCATTTTGAGTAAGAACAGTTTTGTTTCATTTCCAATTCTTAAATTTTTCTTTTTATCATCTCATTGCATGAGCTAGGACTTAAAGTGTTAGATGGGAGAAGTGATGGCTTGTATTCCTGTCTTGTTCTTGAACTTAAGAGAATGCTTTCAGTAGTTTATCAAGATGTTATAGGTTCTGGGCTGGGATGTAGCTCAGTGGCAAAGCGTCTGCCTTGCATTTGCAAAGCCTTGGGTTCGACCCCCAGTTCCAAAAAAAAGACAAAAAAAAGAACCCCATCAAGATGTTATAGGTTCTATTTTCATAGATACTATATGTAATTTTAGGACATTATAGCTCTTGTTTTCTAAGGTTTTAAATACACAGCAGATATGCTGAATAGGTAATGAATTTTACCTGCAAATATTGAAATGATCTCAACAGATTTTTCTAGTTGATATTCTCATATTCAATCAACTTTGTATTCCTGGGAGAAACTACCTTCCAATATATTACCCTCATAGCTTGTTTTCTTTCTTCCTCATTTTTTTTTTCTCGGTGTTAAGAGGTTGAATCCAGAGCTTCCTGCACACTAAGCACACATTCTACTAATGACTATACTCTCAGCTCATGTTTTTTAAAATATTTTTTTTACTTGTCAATGTACCTTTACTTTATTTATATGTGGTGCTGAGAATGGAACCCAGGTGCCTCATACATGCTAGGAAAGCACTCTTCCACTGAGCTACAACCCCAGCCCTCAGCCCATATTTTAATTAGGATTCTCATATACATGTTCATGAATGAATAACCTGTGATTTTTCTGCTCTACTGCCTTAAAATGGTTTTGTTATCAGGGGCCCCATATATTGATGATTTATTCTTTAAAAAAAATTTTTTTTTTGTTTTCTGTGTTTTTTAAAAAACATTTTCTTTTAGTTGTAGACGAATACATATCTTTATTTTTTATTTATATGTTTTTATGTGGTGCTGAGGATCAAACCCAGGGCCTCATGCATGGGAAGCAAGCGCTCTACCACTGAATCACAACCCCAGCCCTGATGACTTATTCTTGACAAAAATGACATGCAAGTAGAAAGGAAAGAAGGATCAGGACAAATAGTTCATTTACACAGAATCTGAAAGTGGAAAAATGAGAGAACAAACCTGAACCACTACTTCCTAAACAAAAGTCCATGGTTGTAGATTATAGACATAGGTGTAAAAGGCCCAATTATAAATCATCTATAAATAAATACACTCTCTACAACCTCAGAATAGGTAAGTATTTCTTACTCAAATCACAAATAATGACAATAATAAATAAGAATGTTGCTAAATAAGAACTGAGAATTTTAGTTCATCAAAAGATAATATGAAGACAGTGAAGATAATCAAGAATAAGACTTTTGTATTACAAAAAATCCATATACAACTCAACTCCAAAATATGTCATAGATTATCCACAGATAAAGAAGAAAAAGACACAACTCAAAAGAAACCTAAACATAAGGAAATGAAAATGGCCAATAATCACATGAAAAGGTAATCAATCTCATTAGCAATTACAGAAACAAAAATTAAAATTGCAATGTGTTACTGCTACATAAGCAATTAGAAAATGTTTAAAAGGTGGAGTATAACAAACACAACTATTATAAACTACTTGTTTAAGTATATATTGGTATGTCTACTTTAGAAAGTAGGCTGGCAACACACAGGAAATTGAAAGACATATGTAACCTAAAGGCTGCAATTGTACTTGTAAGAATATACCCCACAGATGTTTGCATCAGGGCACATGTACAAAATGTTCATAATACAATTTTTTATAGTTACCCATCTGACAGAGAAAGGGAAGTAGATGTGGGTAGGATTCTGAAGTGGTAGCATTGTTCTATCTCTTGCCTTGAATAATGGTTATCACATATGTATTTATTTTATTATTTATGCATACTTATGTATACTAATGCCCACTTATGCTTTTGTTGATATCTGTTATATTTCATAGATAAAAGAAAAAATGCTTACATTTGAGTTTTCAAAAGGTATTTATAAAACCCTGGTGAAATTACTACAGTTACTTGTTATTTACTAAAATAATTTTAAAGACTTTAACAAATATATATATATATACTTCAAAGAAAAACAAAAAGCACAGTTCTTAAAAGAGAAAAAATATTCCATTGCCTAGAAATACCTTCTGAATGGTTTTGCTGCAACAAGATCTGTGTTGTGTAAAAGGCCATCTGCTCAGGCTGTTTACTGCCTACTACAAGTCATAATACTACTTGCATCAGTAATTACTTGTTGTTCAAATATAAATAAAAAGATTATGATTTCAGAGAAAACGGGAAAAAAAGACAAAGCC